AAAATAAATAAAACTAATTTATTTGAGCATCTGAGGGTAATACAATGAATGCCTTTGTAATCCTGCCATATACATTAAATTAATAAGGAAATAGTGTCCAAAAAGCCATTTAACAAGAAAACTTTTTTATTGATAGAAAAGCAAAACAAATTTTCCATGAATTCTAATATCTGTTTTATTATGTTTCTTAGATATACTCGAGTTCAAAAACCAGATTTTCTTTTGTTCTTGTTGTCATCACTATTGTTAATCTCTCTATAAAAACAAAGCGATGAAATCACAAGTCCCTGCCTCAGATAGGACCACTTTGATAAGACATTGTTCCCAATTAAAGTTAATTAAATTCTTATTATTTGCTAAGCATTCCTACATGGTACCAACTGGACTATTAGGTCGGTGACATCAATAAGTATTTGATGTCAAGCCATCAAAACTTTCTCAAATGTTATCAAATACATAAAAACCGAATCAGAATCAGAATAAATCATCCAATCCAATGATTAAATACCCCTCTATAGATAGGTCAGTTCATTCTCATGTGAACCAAATATTTAGAAGCCACAATAATTAGTCCCACAAAGGATGGCCCTGATCTTTGGTTTTTCAGATTCAGATTCAAAGTTCAGATGCATATGGGAGTGGATTGGAGGGGTGTGACAGGATTAGATTAAAGTTTCTGGTTCTAATTTAACCTACAATTTCCACATAATATCAGCTAGAAATTTTTCAACTGTCACCCACAGAAAAGAATTTAAAGTATATGTCTGCACAATGGGGAAAATGGAATTTTAAACATTATCTAATTAATTCAATTGATACAGATAGAAACAGTGGAAAAGTCAGATGCCAAGATTTTTAAGCTAATTTATCCATATTTTTCAAAACCTACTTATCAAACTAAACATATAATGGTCATGTTTTTACTTTACCTTTAGCTATGCAGATATGTTTTATTTCTACACAACATATAGACTGAAGATAAAAAATCAAGCAACAATCCAGGTTTGTGGTCTAGATGGTCCTAAACCTCTTCTAGATATTTTTGCTTTCTATCTAGATATTAAGACCTCATAGATATGGTCATAAATTCATTGTCATTGCTACATTTGAGTCACTACCTATGAAAGGAAGCTTATCTAGTTACCAATCTCTCAAGCCAACCAGGACTCTCCCCTTTCATTAAATAAAAAGAAAGTCATTCAGATTTGACCCCAGAGAAATGAGCACATGCATATACCTGACTTCTCAGTATCCTCTCTGGATAAGAGGATGGAACAACTGTTTGGTTTCTATCTCATTCTTGTAATGGCAGAAAAGAGAATACAAAAAGTCCATTTTAAATTTGTACAAAATGTATGTATATATAAATACATATCTATGGGTGTATATAAATTCTAAAGAAGATTATATTCATCTACATTCAGATTCATCTACTTTAAGATTCAGAGTCCCACACAGTCGACATAATGGTATTCTCTCTCCAATTTTCTCATTTTTAAAGACAATAAGAATCAAGCATGCGACCTTATTAATACTGAATAGTAAGTGCAGAAGTTGAGCTATAGCTATAGGAATTTGATGCAATTAGTTTGACGGGACATCACTGAGTAAAATCTTTCAAATAAATTTAGCTATCTCCAGATTGCCTTTTGTTTCATATACATGAAATTCAAAATGCCCTGCTGAGAGCATCCCAAACTCCTTAAACTGTCAACTGAACTCTATAAGAAGCAATATTTTAAACAGGATCTGTGCAAATTGCTTAGATATGTGCTTATTGCAATAATTTGCATTACTCAAATTTCAATTCTCTATCTCATAAAGAGTCTCAAGTGATACCACTAGAAGCTTAGGGTTCCGAGTATATTAAACTCAGCATGAAATTTGACTCATAAACCACATCATCTTTACACAGAGCAGTATTAAAAATATTCAACCATACTCAATTAATGGGGAAAGGCACACATATTTAAAGATGCACAATAAGAGCATGTTATGAATGTGTGCCTATGCTTAGAGGTATCAAGATATTTTTAAAACAATATTCATAATGTTTTTTATTTCTTCTGTTTTCTTATTTCTTTGGGGGAAAATTACATAGGACAATTTCATAATTACCCCTAGAGTGCACAGGCTGCTCCTTGGAAAGGGGATTATTATTGCATGCCTTGAATGCACTATGATTCATAAGGCAAAAATATATGAGTGGCTTCAGCACCAAGGAAATGGTATCATCATCCAGCATTGCTCACAACAGAACATTTTATTGCTTTAATAAAATGGGAGATTATTCACTGTAAAAAGTGCACCAAATAAGGGGGAGAAAGTAATGTTCATGCACTTAGTGGAGCTCATTGGAAATTAAAGCTCCCTTCTGAGTCCCTGATTCTATTCAAATGTCAAGTCCAAAAGTCACTCTGTAATAAGGTATTAAAGAGCCAGGTGAGGGAGAAATACAAAAATCAATGGACTCTCTTCTTCACAGTGCCTTAGTCATTCTGATGTGCAGTGTGTAAGTCTGATGCACTAAAGGATTCCCTAGTGGTCTGAGAGAGTTAATGCACTCTTTCCCCTATTACCAGGAAGTGACTAAGGCACTGGAGAGAATCTGGTTCATTGTTTAATATATTGTACCCAAAGATTATATACCTGGTCTTACTAATATTACAACATGGCATGCTTAAATAATGGTCCTCTGTGCTTCAGGAAAGAACTTGAGTGAATATCTAATGGGTGATTAAAATTAAGCTTATTAAATTATTTTTATAAAAGATGGACTGAGCTTGGGAAATTTAATAGACCACTTAAAGCCTTAGAGGTAATATTTTCTCTGGGAAAAAAAGCACATATGCTTGGAACCAGACAAAGAATCTAGAACTACTAGTTACTTGGGAGAGGGATACACTTAGGACCACTGTTTCCTTACACCCTGCAGGTTAGTAAGGACTCTTTTGGTTGAGCTTTATGTAGAACATTCTCATTCATACATTTTCCAAACGTTTGAATAGCTGTCAAGAATTTGTTTCCAAGAAAGGACGCCATTGCATATAATTAAGATTGTAATATGCTCTGGCTCCCACTATCATCAATCCAAGGGAAACAAGAATTGGTAAATAACCATAGGTGGACTTCATTTCTAGCATCAATAGCCTTGTCTGGTATCGGGAGAGAGAACAATAACAACAAAAAATGATCTTCTTCTCTTTTTCTCCCCCCCCCCCACATTTTTTTATGTATTCATTAAGTTAGGTAAGCCAGACTCATAAAGAGAAAGAGAACACTTACTTTGTCACATCTCAGATGCAAGCACAGATTTCTAAGTAAACAAGCTGCAAATATTTTTATCCTACAAGTAGATACTGGGTTTAACTTCTCTTGAAATTTGCATGTCCTGTCATCCAAATTGCCCAACATCCCCACCAGTCTCACATCCAGACACATACAGTACAAGCAAGCATACACACTACTGCCTCCAGGTGGTAATTGCATGCAGGGAGGACTACAGGCACTGTTTAAATATTAATCATGTTTTAATAGATGGCATTCCAGCACATCCATTACTTGTTTGTTTTCTCTTGTGGTTGTTTCTGTTATCCGCAAAAGAAAAAAAAAAAAAAAAAAAAAGGAAAACATATGTGTTATCTTTTTATATCAGTCTACTACAGAGAAAGATACAAAAGAACACTTCTGGAAACAGCAGAAGCCAGGCCTGCATCACTGAATTCATCATCCAGTGATAACCATTATACCAACAGCTGGAAATTAAGAACAAGAATATACAGTTTGGAGGACGCAGAACAGAACTATAGTTTGTTTCTGTGTGATAACAATATAATAAATATATAACAAAGGTGTACTTCTTCTAAAAATTAAACAGAAACATTCTGGTCAGTTAGATACTGCACTTTCAATACTGAACATCACCTAATATATATATATGTATATATATTTTTTACAAAAAAAGGTAACTTATGCAATATTTAATACTAAGAAAACCGATAGTACACGCAAACCCAATTGTAGAAAAAGAAGACACCAACAAAAAACTAGAATAATCACTTTCCAAAAAGCCCCTCCTTCTCCTGCGCAACCAAAGAAAGTAACCAGTTCAGTGACACAATTTCAGCATCAGACCTTGCTGGACAGCTCCTGGATCCTCTGTGAACCCTGAAAATGCCACAAGTCGAAGGTGTACAGGTGGGGGCGGGGCAGGGAGCTAAAGAAGTAGATTTTAAAAAATTAATTTAGAAATTTTTAGTGTATTTTTGCTCGGCCAGCGAGGGACATAGCTTAAAGTAAATTAAAATGCCTAGTCCTGTAAAAGGGAATGGTTAACTAAAGGGTGAGAAGAGGAATGACTGGAGAGCAGTACCTGTCATAAACGCATTTCTGGGATTGTCTCTGTGGCCTCTGGTAGTCCTGGTGTTTAATGTAGACGTTTTCTTCATAATATACTATTGCCTGAGCCTGGCTGGGGGTAGGAATGGGGAAGGAACGGAAGCTGAAGGGAAACTGTAAGCTTGTGGGGTGGAGGGGAAGGAAGGTAACTGAACCTTAACCTGACAGCTATGTACAACACACCGGGGCCCTCCACTCCCTTTGCTCCGGGTCAATACCTGTTATATATTTGATAGCTTGTTCGGTTTCTCCTCTTTATTGTGGGGGGCGCAGTGTGGAGAGGAAAGACGCATCCTTCATTGACAATGAGAAATTATGTGATTTGTCATGCGCTTGGATTGTGTTATTAGTATTATAATAATTACTATAAATATAATAAAGTATTATTATCAGCGTTATTTCTTCCGAGACGTTCCTTGCCAATATTTACAAATACCGCACAGTGCCTCGGTGGAGGAGAAACCGTGAGGGGAGTGCAGATAAGGAAAGAAGGAAGCGGACAGAGAGGCCAGAGGAAAGTGAAAGAGGAAGGAAAGAGGGAAAGAAGCTAGGAAGACAAAGATGCTGGAAACAAGGAAGGGAAGAGAAGAGGGGCTAGACAATCAGGACAGTACCACCGTTTGCAAAAGGGCCTCGCCAGCTGTGTCCAAACAGGAGGAGGCTGTGTGTGCTCCTTGCAGACTGGGGGCCGGTGGTGGAGGCAGAGGAGCAAAGGGACCCTGGCATGGGAGGCCAGGGGACAAAGGAGAGGAGGGCGCGTTGGAAGGGTTGCAGAAGGCGGAGTCCCTGGGCTGCCTCTCCAGCCGGGTTTCTTTTATGTGGGTTGGGGCCTGGCCTCCCGCTGGGGGTAGCTCCCTGCCACCGAGGTTGTCGCTGCAGTGATCTCGCTCATATTCCTCCTGAGCCCTCTGCATCTTCCGCTTCTTCATCCTACGCTTGTGGATGTGGAAGGTGGAGAGGGACAGCACGATGAGGCAGAAGATGAGGGTGACCAGGACAATCAGCACCAGCGTAGAGGAGAAGGACTGGAAGAGCTGCTGTCCCACCTGCGTAATGCAGGTGCCACCGCCTGCTCCCGAGCCACGGGCACTAGCGTTGCCGCTGCCACTGGTGTTGGGGGAAGCAAAGGTCCGGTTGAGGAGACAAGGCGGCAGCGCCAGCCTCAGCTCTTTGGGCGCCCTGGCACTCATTGGCGCTGGGCTGGGAGGGGCCAGGCCCACCAGACTTCCTCTCTTGGGCACACCGTTTCCACTGGCCAACAAGAGGACGGAACCCACACCACCCAAAACTGCTCCCTGGTGTGGGAGTTTACGCGCACGAGCGAAGAAGAACTGAGGGAGTAGCTGAGGGCAAACAAGCCGTCAGGGGAGCGAGCGGTGCCCAGGAGATCCTCTCCGGGTCCTCCACGAACGCGTGTCTGAGTGCCCTTTTCCTTTGCCAAGGCACCAGGCTGCAAAGAGAACAGGCTTAGTTAAGATCCCTGTCTCTGCCCAGGGGAGTGCAGAGGACAGGAATAATCAGCGCCACTGCAAAGCAACCCTCTGGCCACACAGCTTTAGGTGACACTGCCAGTCTTCTCCGTAGCGGGAGGACCCCAGCCCGCCCGACCCTGGCAGCGCACCAGGGCTGCCAGCTTTGGGCTTGCGCCACTATTAAGGCAGGGGTCTGAGCCTGAGATGAGGATTACTCAGCAGATCAGGCAGACTCTGCACCCTCCACAACTTTATAATTACAATAGGCACACAGTGGCCTCGGAACGTTGTCCCTGCTTTCCAGAGCTATGCCTCTCCTCTTTCTTCCGCCCTCTCAGTGGTTGTCTTCACCAGGATCCTACCCTTCCCAGCACCCACCCCGGTCGCCGAGCGGGCTTCGGGTATGCAATTCTCCCTCTCCTTCCCTCCACCTCCGGACTCTCCCTTTCCAGACCGCGTCAGATCCCGTAGATCCCATTCCCAAGGGGGGCCACTGGCATCACATCTCACTCCGCCTCTGTCCACGGCAGCCGCTGACGCGCAGGATCGCAGTCCATCCTTTTCCCAGCCTTCTTCCCTAGTACCTCCTCCCACCAAAAAAAAAAAAAAAAAAAAAAAAAAAAAACAGCCAAAGCACCTCTCAGCTAAAGCACTTCTCTGCAAACGTCCCTTTCTCCCCATTTCCCGTGCCCCCCACTTGACAATATACTGCTTCTTTCTAGGGTGGGCTGGAAATAGAAGGGGGAGGGTTCCCACCTGCAAAGTTTGGGGAACCGACCTTCTCTCTGGCATTCCCAGACCCAGTTCGAGGGTCCTGAGACTCTTCCAGGGACCAGCACCAGGTAGATCCACAGAGAGCAGCTGAGCCCTGCCGCTCTCCAGAGGCAGATGCAAACTGTTGCACTGCGGAGCAGCGAGGCGGAGCACGAGCCTGGCCGGGCTGGGGGCCTGAGCTCTGGCCAGGGGTGCCTGCGCAGGCCGCCGAGTCTATCCTACCCACTGGAGCCTGGCCACCCTGCCGCCCGGCCGCCCTGAGCCTTCAGCCGCACGGTGTCCCTTACCTGGGGCTGCAAGCTGGCTGTAGGGAAGAAGCCCGCCGCGCGCGGCTGCAGTGGCAGCTGCAGAAGGCACGGAGTGAGGGGGCCAGAGACCAAGCCGCGCTGCCGCCGATACCTCTGCTGCTTCAGGGAGCTGAGCTCGCAGCCTATTGCCAGAGAGGCCGGTGACGTCAGGCAGCCACCGCCAGGGCTCCAAGCCACCCCTCAGGCCCCCACCCCACCCTCATACCCCAACATCTCATCCTGGTAGAGCAAGCCTCTGCCACACATGTTCCCAGCTCCATGCCCATCCCCTGACCAGGGGCTATGAGGAACACCCCACCCCCACCCTGTGAGCGACCCACCTTCCTCATTCCTAGGCCCAGGAAGGGTTGAAGCTTCCGTTCTCTGGCCCCCTGATTCCTCACCCTGAACCCTTTCCCACTTGGTCCCAGGAAATATTTTTAACCTCTAAAGATCATCTTCTCTCAGGGCCACATCAGATTTTTCTCCCTTCGCTGTTGAGGATCACCCCTCTCCCCGGTCTTGCTTGCGCTGGCCTGGTTCTGAACAAACTGGGCTCATGAGAGAGATGAGAAGGGCAGAACTCGAAATACAACTCGAACATGTAGTTAACATCAAATAATTCAAACGAAATTATATGCCTTTCCACCAAAGTCTCCAACTTATCTTTCATTCCACCTCACCCATGTCCCCTCTCTCTTCCCTCACACACTCATCTCCGGGTCCAAGACTCACTCAGTGTATGAAACACTCAGTGTGTGCATCACTCCTGTTCAGACAATCAAGACACTGGGAGCACACAGGGCTCACACAACAGGGAAAGAAAACATCACCCAGAGGAATGCAGAAATGGACTGCCCTATAAAAATACTGAGTTTGTGCCTCTTACAAAGCGTCTCTTTGGCCTTAATGCTGTTCCAGTGCTCCGTGCCTTTGCTGTCCTGTTAACAATAACCGTTCAGTACAATCGAGAGAACACTTGAAAGAGTCTTCTCAGCCTGCCTGAATACGAACAAAGACAAATCAGCTATTGGTTTAGAACCCCTGGGAAAACATAAATAGTGTATTTGGTTACAGTAACCACCTTCAAAATGAAGGATTTGCATTTTTCAACTGTAGAAGCCAGCTTAGAACAGCACATAAACACATTGTAGGGGAGCCCGGATGGTGTGGTTCAGTGGTTGAGCATCGACCCATGCACCAAGAGGTCGCCAGTTCCATTCCCCGTCAGGGCACATGCTCAGGTCATGGGCCAAACTCCCCAATGCAAGGCATGCAGGTGGCAGCCAATTGATGTTCTCTCTCATTGATATTTCTATCTCTCTTTCCCTCTCCCTTCCTCTCTCTCTAAAAATAAATAAAGAAAAGAATTAAAATAACAAACAAACACTGTAGGGGGCTCAGAAGACAGATGTCTTATTAAATGTGCATTTCATTCTTTACTCTGGGTCTTGTGCTCTTTTCCAGCATTGAGTCTAACACAGTGCCTGCACAATACTTAACTTGCTATTTTGTTCTTGCTATGCATCAGAATGGAGAGATAGCAGGAATGATTGACGTCCACCTATCTACTTGTATTTGCAAGCAGAGGGTTGCAAGAGAGTTTGACATGTGGAGGAAAAGTTGTTTGTCTTGGTGTAGGGTGGGTCCTTCTGACCCTGTGTTCCTATCTAGTCCTACTCCAACTTCTTTTTTTCTCCTTGCCCAACACTTATATATAGGGGAAGAAATATACTGTTCCCATTTATTTGAATAAGAGTCATCAGCATTTTCTGCATAATTTTCTCTCTTAAAAAAAAATAGTATCCCTATTTAAGTGAATAGTTCAGAACATGCTGAATAATGTAAGATTGCTCAGAGCACAAATTGATGTCCTTGGCTGCCAGAGTCACACAGTTAATGAGGGAGAGTGACCCCAATGCTGGTTTAGCTTTTCTGCCTGGGATACCCTATAAAAGCCACCAGCCACACTTGGATGTTCTGACTTTGATGGGCTCAGAGATGGGATGGTGAGAGCCTTGTTTTAATTGTGATCACTAGGTGAGACTTTACCATGACACCTGACATGCAGTGCTCCATCTCTGTGTACTCTCTTTGCCCCTAAAAAGTCAAGTTTAAACATTTTGTAAAGCAAATCCAATTGTGAACACTCCAAAAAGGGAGCTCACTATCTAAAGAGGCACTTTAGAAAACTGTCTTATAAAGCAAAGGATATTTCATAATTAAAATTAATTCTCACAAGTCTGTTTTCTAGTCTTGGAGAAATTAGTTACTGGTTTTCACAGAGAGGAACATACAGACCATTACAATACATTGTAATGGGATTACAATCTGTATATAATGTAATTCCTTTTGCAGACCAAGCTTCTAGGACATTGATGAGCCTGCCATTGTTCTTTTTCTCTTACTATAAATAATAACTGTCTGTTATATATACCAGGAGTGATAAAAGTGTCTGCACCATTTTAGACAACCTCTGAAAAGACAAGGTCTGGTTCTAGAGAACTTACCATCTGCAGCAGATGAATGTAATCCACAGGACAGTGGTATTTAAGTGAAAATGACTTGGGTAGATTAAAGACATCAATTTTCAGGTCTTAATCTCAGCACATGTTTATTCTTTTCTCTTTCAAGAAGATTAGGGTGTAGGTTCATACATTGTTCTTACCCAGAGAATGACTGTGATGAATACATAGAAATGAATATCACTAGGTAGTACGATTAAAGCCCTGGAAATAGCCACAGCAGCAAAAGTTGATCCCACTGAGTTGCTTTATGGCTTTGGCACATCTGGTGCAATGGCGAGGCCCCTTCCAGACAACAGGTTGTCACTGTTTTTGCCATCAGACTTCTCAAGCCACACTTCTAAGAATGGAAAACCAAGAAGCCTCTGAGATTCTCAGTCTTGGCCCTTGTGATGGGAAAGCCTGTCTGGACTCAGGCACATTCCAAATATTCGGCAACATGCAATACTTGCTCTCCAGTTTGATGAGAGATCTCTATCTAGCTTAGAGAGACCTGCCACATGGGTACCTGGTACATTAATCCACAAATGCTTTGAATCAATAATAACAACAACAACAGCTTTGGCTGGGTGGCACAGTTGGTTGGAGTGTTGTCCCCTATACCAAAAGTTGTGGGTTTGATCCCCAGTCAGGGCATCTATGGGAGGCAGCTGATCAATGTTTTTCTCTCTCTCTCTAGCTCTCTCTCTCATCAATAAAAATAACATATCCTCAGGTGAGGATTACAAAACAACAACAACTGCTATTATTATCATTATTTGAAAAATACCTACTAAATGCCCTACATGCCAGGCTGTACTAAAGTCTCCTTATATTAGCATTAACCCTCAAATGACCCTGCAAGGTTATATTTTGTCAAAATACAAAATTATATATTTATTCATTTATTTACTTATTAGCTCAAGAAAAATCTTTGAGTACCTGCCATATGTCGGATGAGAAAACTGAAGTTCATAGTGGCTAAAACATGCCCAAGTCACTTAATAATAAGTATATTGCTGGGATCAAATCCAAGCAAAGTGATTTCAAAATTGGTATTCTTTTAAGGACTAGTGGCTTTTCTCTCTTTCTTGCAAGTGCACACACACACACACACACACACACACACACACATCTCTATTTCTATCTCTGT